ACGGTATGCAATCCTCGGATGTCCGGGCTGGATACGAGTGATGGATAATCCGAAGAATCTTCTGAGGCGCCCGATACTCGTCGACCACGAGAGGTCATGGTTTCCTCCAGATCCAAACGTCCCGGTCTGGTTTTGGACAGCTTAATGGGACTATCCAAAGGTTGCCTTGGAGATGGGGCTGCAGTGTCTTTGTCATTTGTCAACGAGGGGGGTGGTCTAGAAGACACCGGCGACGAAGGGCTGCTGGTTCGAGAAGAAAATGAGCTATCCCGATTAACCGCTATCGAAGCAGCAATATCGGTGTGTGCGGGCTCAACGGTGACGCTAGGCAAAGTTATTGTTGCTTCTTCAGCTGATGCAGACCGTAGCTGACCACCAGAGACCTCAATGATGGATTGAGAGGTAGTTGAGACTGTCGACGTTTCGCTACCATGCGACTCTACCGTTTCTTCCAGTTTTGGAGAATCTACTACAGCCATGGGTCTCTGTATTATGACACTCCCAGTTTCTGCTCGCGAACTTGGACTAGCTGGGGAACTATCTGCTTCGGGGGAGGCGGCATTCCCAGGACGGTCTCTAGACTGGGACGGTTGTTCTGCCTGTCCCATTTCCTCGCTGTGGGCAACAAAAAGATCTTCTGCTGCTTTTTGGAGTCCACACATAGGTTCCGTCTTTCTCAGCAGGATATCTTCGGGCCACGTCACTTCCTCCCGGTTAAGATCAGAGGAAGGCACGTCCTTGGCTGCGGTGGTAGTGCACGCTGATTCTAAGGAGGTTTGCTGGGCATGGACCGGGTGCGCATTTGCATTTTCTTTCTCGCTAACAGGCGATGCATCGAGTACCATGGCGTCCGTGGTGCTTCTCTCCGGGGTAACGATCGGTTCAATTACAGTATCGGCCTCTTGGAGGGTTCGACTGGCTTCAGAGCTATCGTTGGCCACTTCCGTGCCATCAAGAGAGGACAGCGTACCGGACCCACGAGTGGGAGCTTGTTCAATCCCTTGAGAGGTAGTGACGGATTGATCAAGAATGGCCTCGAAGGATTTCTGGTCCTCAGTAGGGCTTCCGGGTTCTTCAGCGATGGTTTCCATCAAAGGTGGACGTGCAGCTTGGGGGAAAGTCTCGGGGGTGTGGGTGGTAAGGTCTTCGGGAGCTCTATGTCCATCTGATACAGGGGCTGAATGATTTGATACTTGTGGGTGGTCTTTGCTTTGCAGTTTATTGGCCATCATACGCCGCCATTCATTCTCAACTGTCTGTTTCTCGGCGTCCATGACCCAGTTACCAAAACCAGATTCGATGGCTTCTAATTCATCAATCCAATTCTCCGGCAGCGAGTCTTCCCGGCCCTCTAGCGCGTCAAGCATACGATCCATTCGTCGTCCCGCCGAGAGAACCGTCACCTCCAGCGCAGCACGTTTGGCATGATAGTTTGATCTGGAATACAAGGCATCCTGCTCGCTAGGGGGCTCGGAGGACTTCAACAAGTCCAAGGCTGAATTCAATTCCGACTGGGCTAGACGTAGGCTCCACAACAGTCCTGGTACCTGACGGAGGACTAGTAACCGAACATCCCAGGTGGAAAGGAGGCTGTTCAGGCGGGAGAGAAGTGGAAGAGCGCGCAAAATGGTGGCGGTGATAACGGCGGTGAAATCGCTTAATTGCACATAGCTGAACGAAGGGGGTCCGGAAAGATTGCTGTTTGATGACGACGGGCGAGACCGTGAAGGAATATGAGCGTTCAGAACGTGTTCTTTCAATTCGTCGACACCCAGACTTTCCATACCATCCCGGATCTCCTCAATTCGTTTCTCGTGTTCAGCTACAACTTCTGCAGGAAGGCTGCCCAGATACTCTGGCTCCGAAGTATTGGATATCGTGGTAGAAGGCGGAACGAATCCTTGGCCCAGTTGGGCATCCGTGCGTTTCGGCCATTCCCACGTTTGTACCTCTTTATACCATAGGCTGAGATTCTGTGCCGCAACAGCCGCGCGGATTCCGAGAGCTCGTTCCGCCTCAGAGACTTGGGATATGCTCTTGGAGAGGATGTCGTATGTGGGTTCGTTCTTCGGCACTGCGTCTGTCGAGGTAAGCGCTTCGAGGGTAGATTCAGGGGATAAGTTTGCGAGTAACGGGTCGAGGGACTGATAGCTGGGAATTGTTGGTCGACTAGGCGATGGAGTCGGCGGCACAGTATGAGGTGCGAAGCTCGCGGTCGAGAGGGAGATGGGTGGAGGTATAGGATTGCTGCGACTGGTGGCCATGTCGGAGGAGAACGGCCACCGGAACAGCTCACAGATGTTGGTCGGAGAAGGACGGAATCAAGAGATGCGATTTGGGAGACGGCGGTGGAATAGCTGATTTGGAAATATGAAAGAGTGTGTACCGCTGAAAAGCAAGCATGCTGAGATGCGAACTTGCAATACCCCAAAGCGACAGCGGAGGTGAGGTTGTTTAGGGGCGTTCCGGAGATACCGAGCTGAGGTCAAGGTTGGGCAGGTAGGGCGACGGTCGGCGTTGTTGTATGAGAAATGAGTGGAAATAAATGTGTCGGTAATTATTACTAGTAAGATAAGATGCAGGATCAAGTGCGAGAAGAGAGGGAAAAGAAAGACCAGATGTGGGAGGGAGAGAGGCAGATAAAGACGGAGGATTTACTCCGTACAAAGTGAGCTTTGGGGATTGATAGATCACAATCGGAAAGGCTGGGGGGGGAAAGGATTGGAGAGGCGCAGTTGGGGGAAGCTGAGAAGAAAAACAGAAAAAGAAAGGAAGAAAAAAGAAAAAAAAAAAAAAAAAGAATGTGGGATGATAACTGGGGGAAGGAAGAGACCTGGTCCAGTTGTCTCTCGAGTAAGGGAATGACGATGATTCGAAGAAAAGTGGCTGCAAGTGTGAGTTGGAATGAGGAGAAAGTTGAAAGTTGGTTAAGCAATCGTTCAGCTCGAACGGGACAAAAGTGGAGCCCCTTCAGCTTTGCCAAAAGGGGCCATGTTTACTATTTACTATTTACTATTACTATTTATACGGAATACGGAGCAACAACTTCGCTTGCCACTATTGATTTTCGGTCTTATTCTGAATCTTAGCTTCATCTTCCTCAGGAATAGCCTTCGTCCTCATAATTCCAATTCCTCTTATTATTCTTATTATTAAGTTTAATAAATTGGCATTCCCCCAAGACTCAGGAAAACCTAAAATCATATCTCCCAGAACTGTATGAAAGATGCAGACTAATTCTCCTGTATAATATCCCGTCGGACTTTAGATCGGTATGTATGTATGTATGTATGTATGTATGTCTGTCTGTCTGTCTAAAGCTACGGAGTACATGGCACCAAATATCCCCCCCTCCTTTAGCTCGGTGGAGTCTCACGGTAAGTACATGAACCACCCCCCTGAGGGTGGCTGGGGCGAAAGGAAGCAAAGTAAACCGTGAACTTTCAAATTCCAATTGATCACTGGACTGTGTGGATGTGTAGTATATCCTGTCAAGGGCGGCCAATCCATAGAAATCATGTTGATGCACGGACTTTAGCCTTGCATTTCTTTTGCAGGGGATCAGAGCTCTCAATATTGTTATCTCCCATAGGACTGGTAGTCCATGAAAAAACTCCGAAATACCCATAATAATATTCTCGGGGTGTATTTATCACGCGCATCTTCCGCTAAACGTCGTTCTCCATAAAAGACGCGCTTCAGTCACGCTCGAGGATCGCCATCGAGTCGCGTCCATGCGAGGAAGAGGCGAGGTACTAGTAGAGTAAAAACCCAAAACAACAATAGATCTATGATCGACATCCCTTACTTATTGCAGCAGTAGGTCACTAACACTACCTTTTTCCTTTGCTACCCGACGCACCCGTCATCAGAGCACTGACAAGGTATTCCTTATGATCACCTTCCTACGGCGCTTATCGTTTTAGTGCCCATCTAAAGGCTGTGGTGGCGAGAATGAATGATTCCTCAGTGAAAAAGACGATGAATTATCAATCGAAGTCATGATCCATCGACCGGAGTGCCAGATAGCTTTCTCTGGACATGGCAGGTGTTGACCAAAGAGAATGGTAACAGGTAGAAATCATGTATTAGCTGAAACCGATCGTGGATTTATGACCAAGGACTCATGCATTGAAGGGGAAGGCATCTGTACAACAAGGGAGTTGTTGTTATTATGTCCTCGTCCAGCCTTCGGCAACGGAACTGAAACCAAGTCAGCCAGCGGACACAGGCAAGGAGCCAGGACTTGGAGCCAGGGTTGGTACGGAGTAAGGTGAGCCTAATGTCCAACGAAGACCGGCGAGGACGATGGTCTCGAAGCAACACGGTGTGTTCTAGGGCTTCGTATTTCTGTAGACCGTAGGGTATTGTCGTTGAACCACGTGGAGATCCAACCCAGCATTCCTTTCCTCTAATTAATACCCGAAACTTCTCCAATGATATTTGCCTGGTCTGTCCCACTCATCAAACGTCTGGACAACGTCTTCAAAACGTCTTCTAGAAAAGGGGCCAGATGACGATGCAGTCCAGAATGAGTTAGTATTTTTGGTCTTGGAGCGGTTTTTGGCATAGCATGTTAAGGTCGATGGGACCCAATCGTCCAACCCTAAACCTCGCATTAATATGCGTCTCGTCAAGTCAATGACGGCGAAAGCCATCAAAAGTGACGTCTTACAATGAGAAGAAATAAGTAAAGAAGGCAGAGTCGTGTTAAGGTTTCGAAACAGTGGCTGAAGGTCCTAGAGTTAGATATAGAGTATATAAAGTGTTGTACATATAGAGATGCTACTCTACCGAAAAGATATAAATATATATCGGCATGGTAAATGCAGTCAATACAAAAATTATATGCTAAGTTATCACTCCACTAGTGAAGCAGATCATTATAAACAAAGATTGGGACACGATATAATGTCAGATAAGAAGTCGAAATGAGAATATATATATATATATATATATATATATTTTTAAAAAAAAGATAGGAAAAAAAGGTAGAAAAAAAAAAGCCAACGAACTGATTGATTACTACATGTTTTGTTGTTTGGGTTAGATTTCTCGCCGATAAGGAACGTCGCCGATAAGAACCAAATCAACTCTCGAATCCCTATGTGATGCCATGACATACATGCGTTGATTGAAGATGCGATTTCGCACTCAACTCGCTAACGCTGCAACTTTTTCTAGTATGTGTTACGTTTCTCTTTTCTTTAGGCCTCCCCTCTTAGAATACCTTTCTTTTGTTTTTTGGTAAACCAATGTTGCCTGGTGGTGCTCCCGCCAAGTCTCAATGGAAGTTCCAGCCTAAGGTCCAGCAATCCACTAACCCGCTACTAACACCTACCTATAGAGTTGACAGCATCCCTCTCATCTCTGGGTAAAGTATGCTGGATGCGACTGGAAGATGGCATTGTTCGATTTACCATCATCCCTGATCAAGGCACCCAAGTTTGGGCGCAGTTACCCGTGGTACGTGCCCTTGGCCATCCGAGCGAAAGAGTGTCCTATCTAAACAAATCGTCCCAGGACGCCATCTTCGATGAAACCAGTTATATTCTGGAATCCAACTCCGGGGTTATCAACCTCGAAGTTCCAGTCGGTGCTCTCCACCGTGCCCTTCGCTCCGCCGCAGCGGCGACGTCGGCCCAACTGCGTCTGACCAAAAAAGGCAACGTCCCTCTCTTGGCTCTCACGATCCATGCATCATCCTGGACCACGGGGTCCAACGCACTAGGGATCACCGACTCTGACCATGCAGCCATGACCGGTCCGGCTCTGGAAGCGGGAGATACCGGTCGCGTAGGTCAGGCAACCACTGCGTCAAGGCCAGCAGCCGTTTCTGGGCCCCGGGAACGCGAGACGGTCATTACGCAGGAAATTCCTGTGAAGGTCCTCCATGAATCTGCCATCGAAGGGCTCCATGAACCGCGATGTCGTGACCCCGATGTGCATATCATCTTGCCTAGTCTGTTCCAGTTGAAGAGTATCTCCGAGCGGTTTACCAAGTTGGCGGCGGATTCCAAGGGCTCTTCGGGTTCTGCGCTTGTGTCCGCCGTCTCACCTAAACTGGAACTATCGGCTAATATGCATGGGTCGCTGAAGTTGGCGATCGCTACGGATGCCCTACGTATTTCGAGTGTTTGGACGGACCTGGTGAACCCGTCGCTGGACCCGGGGCAGCTCACTCAGACGGAAATCGAGCAGCTGCCTAGTGAGCGGATGAGAGCTATAAGTGATGATGATGAGGCTGGTTGGGCGAAGGTGAGGATTGACGGAAAGGATTGGGGAAGGGTGCTGAGTGTTGGGCGATTGAGTCCTAAGGTCGTTGCATGTAAGTTGAGGACAGTCCACACAACCGTGATCGGAGCGCCCTGCTGACTCGATTGACTTACATGCAGGTTTTATCCATGAGACGGCTTTGATCCTCTACGTTTACCTGCCGGGGAGCTGGAATGGAGAGGATTCTTGTTTGACGGTGAGTTGTTTTTTCAAATCCGTGTAGTATTGGTGAAAGGTCAAGCTGACACGCACAGTATTATATCAATTCTTACGCGGCTTGAGTAGAATTACTGGGTTTAGATTATGAAGATGTTACGGTCTCGGTATGCAAACGTACGCGCAATATAAACGCACACAACACTGAGCGTCAGAAGGTCGGAATTATTATAATACTATTAAAAGGTTCAAATAATAAACTTTCATGTTCCGTGAAACTCCAGAAGAAGGCCTTCGGTTGAAGATCTTCATACCACTCAATGCCAAAGGCAGTGGTCTCAAATCGACAGAAGCGTAAGCAAAGCAAATCATCAAGGGGGAAGCAATAAGCACCACATAAGGTGCATATGCATATATTTATTGTACACGGGAATATCTTGGTCATGCAGAGGGGTTGGAAACAAGGATGTGCTCCTCATCGAGGTAACACGATGCAAGACTTTTGTGCAGGCGGGTAGAAGAATTCTATAGCACACGCAAGCCGTATACGCTTCACGATGTGCAAAGAGCAACGTGAGGCCGGGAATTAGGAAAATCGTAAGACATGATCACACAAAAGAAAAAATAAAGACCCACATCTAGTAGGCTGGGCAGTTTACTTCGCCATCACATCGACATATCGGCCTTTCTTCCGTCCCTTAGCAGGTGCGCCCTTGCGCGCCTGTGGTGCTCCAAGAAGGTCATCTATGGAGCTGGCATTGCTCAGCGATGTTGCAGGGCGAGGAGGGGGCAAAGAGGAGCCCATTGGTGGCGTGGTCATGGCCGCACTAGTAGAGGCTGACCGAGTAGTGCCTAGCATAGGCGGGGGAGCAGCAAGCGAGGATGGTGCTGGGCTGCTGGATAGTGACGGAGGAGCACCTGCAGACGACGGAGGTCTACTATCAGGCCCCATAGCCATGCTTGCTGCAGGCGGCGCGGTGCTGCCACTGGCACTCCTGCTAGGAGCTGACGCTTTGGGTGGCGGCGGTGTGCCACGCGATACACTGGCGCTATTCGGATCTTTCTTGTTGACCCATTTCTTCAACTCCTTGTCATAATAGAAAGAGTTTTCCTCGCCAAGTTTGGCACGGATAGGGCCGCCCGAGCTGTTGTTGTTGTTGTTATCGCTCTCTTTCTTTGCTCCTCCAAACCAACCGCCAAACCATGATTTCTTTGCTGCGGGAGGTCTCTTGGCTGTGCACAGCAGAATCAGTAACATGTCCAAGTATGACTATCAGAGGCAAGAACTTACCATCAGCTTCTGCAGCTTTCCTGAAGGCCTCATCGGCTTCACGGTCTTTGCGCGCCTTCTCGGCCTTCTGAATAGCGGCTGCACGTGCTGCAAGGTCATCGTCATCATCATCGTCCATGAAGGACTTCTTCTTTTTTAGTACATCCTGATGGGTGGGATCTTCCGTGGTATCCAATGTAGGAGCTGCGCTAATTTCGACAGAAGGCGGTTCATAGCCACCACCGGCACCGGGCGGAACGTAGCCGGCCACATCAGATGCAGGCGCTGTCGCCGTGTTTTGATCCAGTGGTTCGCCAAAGGACCCATTAGCAGGGGGTTGATAGGGCGAGATATTCACAGGAGATCCTTGCATTGGGACATGTTCGACAGGGTAGGGCTGAGAGGCTGAATCTTCCACAACAGGCGCCAAAGGCATATACGATGCTTGAGGGGGAGTAGATTGATAGCCAGCGGCTGATGGAGACCCGTAAAGTGGGCCACCTTGATACACACTACTTTCAACAGGTGTCGACGGTTCTTGGGAACCTCGTCGTTGCCCAAACGGGAACCCGAACGACGCTGATCTCTGAGAATCTAGGGATGACCTTCCACGATATTGCTCAGGGGAAGAGTTGGGGACGTATTGATTGACCGGTTGATACCGCGAAGGGCCACTGCCTGGAGCCGATTGGGCTGCGGGCAAAGAGTAGGGCCCAAATTCCGATACGGATGGCGACCGACTGACGGTTGGAGTGCCGGAAAACTTAGCAAATGGCCCAATATCTCCGTCTCCAGCTTTTCCGGAACCCGTTGAGGCGGCGTCGCTATCTTCACCAGCAACGAAACTGTTGAACTTGGCCCACATCGAGCCAGAAACCTTCTCCATGCTTGGTCTAGAGATCCATGAAGACCCACTGTCACTGGTCGTTTGTCTCAAGCGTGCCGAGAGCTCGTCTACTCCGAAAAGCAGGTGTTGATTGTGATAGCCAGATGGCTTTGTAGTTGCTTTTAGAGCTGCTGTAATGGCATCGGCGTACTGCAACGCTTCCGATTTGCGACCATGCTCTGCGAGAGAGCAAGCATGTATGAGCTTGAACGCTAATAGATGTGGTAATGTAGATGTAGGAGAGCCCGCCAATACTGATACTGCATATTCATATGCTTCAGTGAGCAAGATTGCATCATCATCCTGCAACACGTTCAAGGGTAGATGCTGGTGGTCGGCTCCCAACAGGACTATACTCGTTTGTGGGTCATCTGCACCGCCAAATACCGCGGCTCGTGAGAACATAAAACAAATATGAGCAGCTTCCGTCCGACCGTACGATAACAGCAGCCGACCAAGGGCCAACAGGGCCTTGTGGTCTTCGGGACTGCGGTTGCTTAACACTAGTCCCAACGTATCCCTCCAGCTATCCAGACCTTCAAGGGCATTTTTGGACGGCCCTTGTCCACCAACCTTACTGACCATCTGGAAGCCCGCTCTTGCCGAAGGGGGAACAAGCTCATCAACGCTTTCATCGACATTTCCAGCGAAGATCTCATAGAGTGCTGCGAGGGACTCCGAGTTACCAGTCGTAGATTTGACTTCACGTCTGACAAATTCTTGAACGACTTGCTTCCAAACAGATCTATCGAGGGTTGAGGCTATTATCATAGCATGGCCCCATAGACGACTGTCCACCGCATCCCATACAGCCTTCTCCCGATTGCCCACGAGAAGGCTATTGCGAATGCCCTCGACTGACTGGCTGTCAGTAGCATCAGGTTGGGAAGAGGTGTTAAGTGGAGGTAAAGCATTGAAGGCTGGAAGGTTGACTCCGGAAGTCGGCTCCAGCTCAGAATTTTGCAGGTGAGGAAATATAATGTAGCGTAAGGACTTCTCTACCTCAGCCGACCCTTCCAAGACACCATCGTGTTCCACCAACGCGCGAACAATCTTCCACAATAATGTTTTTTCATCATGCCTTTTTGAAGACTCAGGATGTAATTGAGCTGCTTCGGAGATGCCCTCATTTTCGAATGCCGCAATTTTACTCGAAAGCCAGGCAACTAGGTCCTTCTTCTTGGACTTGTTCTTGAGTGGGCCCGGATGCTGCACAATACCCTCAGTGATAGGAACCCAATCGTTGGCTGAAACTATTTTCACTTCTCCTGGGGTGGACTTGATTTTTGGCGCGGCTTGACCAGCAGCATATCGTGGGACATGCTTAGGGAAACATGACGTTATGGAGCCGCCAAATCCAAACTTGACAATCGGAGCGCCCTTCCATCGTTCAAGTGGGTCCAATTCCTGTCCATCATTCGGTGGGATGAACTCAAGCGGCTGTGAAGGGACACGGTTATGGATAGAAATCTGCGATGGTGCGTAGGAATTGGCGGATTTTGTTGGGGAAGCAGGGGCATGAACTGAAGCAGGGCGTTGTAAAGGATCCAAAGGCACGGATAATCCTGGAGCCGACGCCTGTTGGCTAGGAGACTGAGTTTGTGACCTGCGAGGCGGAATAAATTGAGCGTCACCAGGTGGAGGCACAACCGCTGGTGGAGGACTAGCCATAGGAGCAACGCGCTTTGAAAACTCGTTTATATACGCTGGAGGAGCATATGGGTTCCTAGGGGGTGAGGTGGGCTGAACAGCTGCCGACACGTTTTCAGGAACTGCCGTCACGGCAGCTGAACTTGCAGCGCCAACGGAAGCTGTGATAGTGTCAGAAACTTCCTGCTCATTCGGACGCGGCTGCATACCGCTGGGAGCATAGCTAGATGCTGGATCTGGAGCGGACCGGATAGCGAGGCCCTCTGACGGTTGGTAGGAGACTTTTTCGTGATGAGCCAAAGGACTTGAGGTTCGTGGTTGGAACGGCAAAACAGCCCCTTGACTGGAGACGCTAGATGGCTGAGAAGCATAGCGGGTACGAGGTGGTGCAGGCGCAGCAGACTGGGGTGGTGCAGGGGAATACCGGGGTGCCGATGGAGGTTTGGTCCCAGGTTGTACAGTGGGTGGTTTGGGTGAGTATCGCGACGCTGCGCTAGGCGCTGCCGGGTCACCTGGAGCACTAGGGCCCAATAGATTTGCATAGGGATCCAAGCGCTCTGGTTGCTGCAACTGAGGTTGAGAGCCGACACTACTGTCCTGCGGAGGAGAGAGACTAGCGTATGGGTTCGCCGAGGGCGGCGGCTGGGAGTGAGATGGTGGAGACGTCACTATATTAGCAGTAGGTGTATAACGTCCGGAGCTCGCGGGCCGGGATCTTGGCCGAGGGGGTGGCAAAGGTAGTTCTTCATAGAAGTTCTTAGGTGTCGTGACAGCTGGAACTGTCGATGCCGCAGGAGGTGGAGTAGGGACCCCTGACGCATTGGGAGGAGGCCCTGGGATACTGCTACTCCGAGGTGGTGGCGGCATGCTACTAGGCTGCGCGACGACCGGCTTGTGGGTGACTACGGGCTTGCGAGGACGAGTAAGATCATCTGGCAGGTCGTAGGGTGACTTGTAGCCTTCTTTAGACCGTTCTGCGAAGCTCTCCGCTCTCTTTGCGGTAGGCCGCGGCTGGGGCGGGGGCGCAAAATAGTCTTGCATTGGAGCGGCACTTGATTGAGGAGCAATGCCTGGTATCCCTTGTAGTAAATCCGATGTCGATGGCTGATGCGGCGTATAACTGGTGGGTTGCGCCTGAGGTCGCGCTGAGCTTTGCGGAGTACCGAAAGGACTGCTAAGGGTTGCTTGGGTCGCCTCGTGAACACTCCCATTCAGGTTCTGAGGAAGTGACTTCTGACCGTTGTTCGAGCTCTCGCCAATCTCATCTTCCAGAAGCAAATCGTCATCATCATCAAGCGCTGCTTGCCACCTAGCAGCCAAGTCATCTTCTGAACTTTTGTCAGGTTGGTCATCAGACAGTTCAGCCTGCCATTTTGCAGCCAAATCATCATCAGAAAGATCTTCCTTGGGCTGGTGCTCCGATGCAGTTGCCGC